ATATATATTGTGTTCGGGAAGTAATTACGGTTTTGGAGCGTTTCACAGCAATTTTTTCCTTACTGAACTGTTCCTAGTCAATGAACCCTATTTTGTTTGATTATCTTTTGATCTACTTCTGATAATTTCACTGCCCCTAAAGTTTCCGGGTTTTTGCCAAAAAAAACTGGATCACATAAGATTTGATAAACTCATACTCGGTAGCAGTTTCCCATTGAAGGAGTCATGCAACGACCGACGTTGATGGCGTTCGGATTGCGCGTGATCAGGCTATATGATGAATGCAGCATTAGTTACTCCTTTGCGACTCGCTAATTTTGGAAGCATTTTTCAATCGCCTCATCAAATTCCAACAAGTATGGGTCCTAGTTCGCAATTTCAAATTCTGGATTCTTCTTGTTTTTCTCTTGATGGAGATCACCTCGTTTGAGCTGGTTGAACTTACCGTAATCGTTTGTGAGTAAGACGTGAGTGTGAGTGAGTATCGTAAACACTCCGACTTTCACTACAGCAAGTACTCACTCCATGAGTGGATGGTCCTCGTTGCGTTTCAAGCGCGACGGATTGGTTTCACCAACTCGCGGCATCAAGTGTATATCCCTCAACGCATGTGGCACCTGAACATCTAATTTTACAATGGTCAAAATTTTTGATAATTCATTGTCGTTTTTTATGGATGCATTGGTATTCTGGCCCAAATCGAAGTGGCTGTTTGAAATGAAAACTAGACGTAATTCGGATGCCGATCTGATGCTGCTCTCCAAATTTGCCGAACGATTCTGTGAATGGAGGTATGACGTTGATCTTAGCTGAGTCAGTTACACGGATTTACCATGCTCTTCAATGACGACCTGGAGCAGTGGTAAAGGTGACGTTTCATGTGCGAGAGACTATGTTCATCTTTTGTGGGGAACGGGAATTTCGCAGTACATTGAATTTATACTTGTGTCTCAAAAATTCTTCTGCTGCTGTTTTTATCGCATTTCAAGGCCTTTTGACGCTTGTGGTGACATCTTTATTACCTAATTATTGCAATATCGCTTCAATTATTTTCGCATGTTTGTTCGCGCTAAACTCACAGTGGGGCTCATGGGTGTGGTAACTGGTGGCGCACCGTAACGCACGATTTTGCAGAGGTCGAACCCCGCAACGATTATCGTCCAGACTATTCAAACCTTCCATCGCTCCGGGGTGGTTATTCGGGACCAGACTCGACTGAGTGAGAAAAGCACTGACTTGTACGTTGGCTGGTCACCGCGCGTCACTGTATAGACCATATACGCATTTTAAATGCCACTCTGAATGAAACTCAAATGCAGAGCGATCCTAAATACTAAATCGACTAAACCCAAAACTTGATTCTTTCAATCCTTTATATTCACGGTGGGATTTCTGAGTAACATGCACCCCCCCCTACAATCCTATGACTGTAAGAAAGTAGGTGAGGTAGTGCGGTTGCTGTCTGCGACCACCCACTCTCTTTCACCGTTATGCCCTTCTTTTTCGTTGATGGCCACCTAGATCAGGAATCCGTAGTTTTAGAGTGTTCATTTCTCGTCGCCATTCAAGAATATGTTCCTATGTGGTAGCTCCCGATCTCAATTTCTGTGTATAAACTCGTGGCTGGCTTGTGGGGAACTTTGTTTCTTACATTTCGTGGGCCACATGGCTGCCGTCGTTCTAGGCTTCAGTTGTCGAAAAACTGTTGGATCGTTGAACATGTGTTGGGGACCACGATGGGGACAACGTTACTGATTGAGATCTTTCCTTAATGAAAGTAGCGCTTTTTAAGATGAAGATGAAAAATCTGTTAACGTTTTTACTCAACCTGATATATTCGTGGAAACTATGTATATAGCATGACTTACAAGGGAAGGATACTTGGTCGCAGTGGCCATTCAAGATGAGATGTATACCCCCGTAGGTGGTTTCGAACGCTGATCTCAAATCTGTGTTCCAAATCTGCTAAACGATT